TGGCGCAATGGTAGCGCGTCAGACTTCTAATCTGAAGGTTGTGGGTTCGACCCCCACGTAGGGCTTTTTTTCTTTCTCCGCCCCTCGTCCACTCCATCCTTTTTGCCCACGTTAAGCCTTAACTCTACATCTTTGTTTTTGACGATAATAATGCACCATAATGAGTCTATATCAATTTTTTTTTTCCCCAAGCAATGGACCGAGACCTCTATTTTATTTGTTTATTTTTAATTTTTTTGACAGCCAAAGTTCGAAGATGACTTGTCAACCTGAAGGGGTCAATTCTTCTCTCCAATTTTTATGTCAAGAACAGACCCTGCAATCATCATATAACCCAAGAATGATTGCACGCAATTAATTCTCGTCCTTATTTGATACAGTCCCATATTTGAAGGGCGCTCATAGATGCTTCATAAGAGTTACTCCTGTCGGAGAAAGATTATGAGAGTCTGATGCTGGTCGCAAGAACTGCTGGGATCTAGATAATCCCTCGTCGCTATAAATTTCCTATCAATTGTCTGACACAACCAAGAGACCTATTAACCGCGAAGGAACCGAGGACACATGTGTTGAGACTCGCGCAGCAAGCATATATTGTATCTGCTTCGGAATATGTACTCCATTGTGGATTAGCACGCGGCGCACGACCGTCGCTTATATAAATCCCTGCAAGCGGCATGCATGCCATATTAAAGACAGATTACAGTACCCAGACAGCCTGTTCTATTCACATCCAGCCGAGGCCTTCTAGTCTAAGCGGAAATGGCATTTTAGAATCATGAATCCGAGTCGTGTTCCACATGAACGTGAATGTCCACTGTCTTGAGCACCCCATCCCTCCGTGATTCCATCGTCAATTGTTTTGTGCTGGCGCTGGTCCCCTGGCTATCGTCACTGGGGATTCGGCTCAACCGGCCCTCCCGAGAATCCGTACGGACGTTGGTGGTCACTACGGAGTCGCCGTTCCCGAAAGCAAACCCTGTATAGATGCTGCGGCGTTTTTCGGCGCTGAGCGGCGTCTGCTTGCCATAGCTGCTTCCCTTGCGTCGCGTGGAGAGCTCAACATTGTCTGGTAGTCGGGTCGTGATGAGACCGGAGTGTAGCCCGGCGAAGATGTGGTAGAGAGTCGGTAGGCAGGCGACGATGAGGTTTGTGTACATGTTTGCTCTGGAGGAGTCAGACGCGCGATCCATCGGTGACTTGGAAATGGCTTACTGGGCAAAGGTTGATGGTATGACAATCGACCCTGCTCGCGTTAGACCTGCCTCTGGACCGATGGAGCCGGAGCCAGCTTACATGTGGTATCAGATGAAGGCAAGGATTGTGGCAGTGTCGCCAGTTGTCCGATCGTGAGTAAGACGGCGCTGTGTCTCCGTTAGCATTGGATACCTCTCACAATGCAGGGCGACCAACAGTGCTCTTGCGCAAAATGCGCACAGAATCTTTACTCTCTTGCCTTGAGACATCTGCACCTTGTGCATCATGAAGAAGGGAAGGCTGAGGACGGCCACGTCGGTCAGGATGTTCATGACAGCAATTAGATACATCAAGGCGCCCTGGCACGATTAGCTGAGCTCTTTGCTGTGGGCTGCCCATCGAAAGATTAATAGATACCTTTGCCGGGCAACGATCCGGTCTATACAACCAAGTATCTGGCAGAGGACATTGAAAAGCAATTGCACACAGCGCAAAGACCGTCCAGACGCCAATCGCTCCTATTGTGGCAAGACATGCCTTTTGCAAACCGCCTCGCGGGGTCAGTATATGCACCAAGAGGGTCGTCGATAGTTTGGATAAGGCGACTGGGATGATCTGAAGCAGCTGAGCGGCGTAGTTGTACTGTCACCGAAAGCAAAGATAGATTAGACGAGAGCATTGGCAGACCTGGCACTTTTGAAATACCTTGCTGTACTTTTCGAAAGAGTCCGCATTCACGGAGTCCTGCTTCCTTCCCAACCCGTATTTGACCGCATACTGGAGTATGATTGTCTGGATGATGGCAACAACCTGGAAGACTGGCAGTCAGTGTCGCTCTTAGCTTGGACTCTAACCAGTTCATACCGTTCCGACGTAGATTGGAGAACTGGTCGTCGTCCGCCGCCGCTTGAGATAGATCGACGAGCCTATTTTGGCCGCGATGAAGAAGGCCAGCACAATCAACAAGGAGACATTGACGAGAAGAAGGTATGCACCATGATCACTGTCCGTGATTGATGCAAACGGAGGAGTCCGAGACACGCCTTCCATTGTCAAACCCAGGCGAGCAGACCCTCATAGCTACGCAACCCTGGGCGATGAGAAGCGCTCTTTATGATTCATTTATTCCATGGCGGCATCAAATTTTCCGAAGGATTTAGGGTCTTCTTGATCGAGTCACGATCTAGCAAGGGTGCCCTGTCGCAGCAAACACAAGCGATGGGTGATTGGATTGGGATCATTGCGTCCTCCTTGAGTTGGCTAAGAATTGGTGTTCTTGCTCGTGTGCGCATGTCAGGAAATCGCTCGTGCAAGTCCGAGGGCATGCCATCGCAGGTTGCTAATGCACCCTTAGGCGCATCGGAGTGCCCCTAAAGTTGCTCTAAAGTGACCGGACCAACGCTAAAGTCGCTGGATTGGAGCTCCAGAGTCCAGACCATTCATGTCGAGCTAATCGAACAAGGATCGGATGGTTTGCCCCATCTAGATTGCCCCGGTTAATTTGAATCAATGCTCTTGTTTCTCTGTCCTCCAGAGGGGCAGTGCGTGGAAGATTGCCCCCATGTCTAGTGGTACAGTGACAAGGAACTGACCATTGCTCGCCAAGAGGAAGAGAAAGAGTAATAATAATATTAATAATGTCTTTGTCGTCGACTGTAGGCCGGTCCAGATTTCATATGATGCCCTTATCCCCTTGATTTTGGGCTACCTGGTCAATATTTGTCCGCATGATTTCCTTTATTTAAAACTTTTCTATCATTCTTCCTCCGAACCCTCCTATCTCCTTAAAGCGAGTCTCTCTGGCTGGTTACTGCAAAACAGGCTCTACCAAAATGGGGTTTGAGGAGGTCGAGTTAAAGGGCAATGTCCACATTCAATCTGGCGCGCGATCCAATGGTGACTATGGCCTTCCAGCTGGGAGTAAAGAACTCCGACAGAGGAACCAGCTCGAGGTTCGTATCAATACTGGCCGATCATGACACTGGCTAACTATCCAAATATAGAGATACCTAAATTTCTTCTCGACTTTGGCCTTTTCAGCCACCCTGATGGCTTCATGGGAGACGGTGGGAGGAAGTTTGGCGGCTGGATTGCTGAATGGCGGACCAGCAGGAATAGTTTATGGCATGATGTTTAGCACAATTGGCAGTGTAGCTGTTGCAGCATCACTGGCCGAACTTGCCTCTGTGTACGACGGCTTCCACCTGTTCTCGAATACCACGCTGACCGGATTGAATCGATATACAGGAATCCGACAGCAGGTGCTCAATATCATTGGACCTATAATCTGAGTCCAAAAAGTAACAGACTCTTTCTCAGTTCCTTTCAGGGTATGTCTTCTATTGTAGTCAGTAAATGGCTTGAGCTCACAATCTTACAGGATGGGTTACGGTATGATGAACCTGGTTGGCTCGTCACACTATATCTTGCTAATGTGAGCAGGTCTTCTCCTGGTGTTCCCTGCTCTGCCTGGCGCCCTTCCTCATTGGGAACCAGATCCTGGGACTGGTTTCGTTCAACCGCGAAAGCTATCACATCGAGAGATACCAGGGCACGCTGTTGACCTGGGCAGTTTTGATCATCCCGATAATTATCAACATTTATGCCCGGCGGGTCATGGCGGTCATCGAGGTAGCAGCTGGAATCATGCCATCGTCTTCCTGCCTGTGACTATTGCAGTTCTTGTGGCTCTTGCCCCCCACAATCCCAATGAATTTGTCTGGAATACCTTTGTCAGCGGAATCAGCGGCTGGTCGAATCCGGGCGTAGCTTGGGCTGTAGGCCTTCTAGGCGTGGTGACGCCCCTGGGTGGTGAGCAGCTCCGAGATAATGTTCGAGATGTATAGACAGCTGACAATCTATAGGCGTGGATGGCGTCACCCACATGGCCGAGGAGGTGAAGATGGCCTCCAAGACCGTACCACGATCCATGATCTGGGGAACGCTCACCAACGGCATCATGGCGTTCGGATACGCCATCGCCGTCCTCTACTGCATGGGAGATTACATGGAGGCGCTGACCTCCCCGACGGGATACCCGATCTTTACGATCGTCTACCAGGCCACCGGGTCCAAGACCGCCGTCAACATCCTCATGGCAATGGGTCTTCTTCCCGGCTGGATTGCGCTGTTCAACGGCCTGGCATCCGTCACCCGCCTGACATGGGCTTTCGCTCGTGACAACGGTCTTCCCCTCTGCGACTTTTTCGTCCACATCGACCGCAAGCACAAGATCCCCATTCGAGCTCTGTTCCTCGTCGCCGCCGTGGTCGTTCTCCTGTCGTTCATCCAGATCCGGTCCACCGCCGCGTTCAACGCCATCCTCTCCATCAGCACCCTCGGCCTGTACGTCTCGTACATCATCCCCCTAATCCTGCTGGTAATCAAGCGCTTCCGCGAGCCGCAGGACATCCCCCGCGGTGTCTTCCACATGGGCCGCTGGGGTCTCCCCGTCAACCTCTTTGCGATTGCCTTTGCCATCTACGTGTCCATCTTCCTACCCTTCCCGGCTCAGGTCCCCGTTACCCGTGAGAATATGAACTACGCGGGGCCCGTCCTGGGGGCGGTCATGATCTTCGCTTGTGTGGACTGGGTGGTGCGCGGACGGAAGAAGTGGCAGGGTCCGACGATTGTCTCTCACGAGGACCGACGTTAGTGTTTCGATGAAAATCTGGCATAGCCATGCAGAGAGATATACAATGGTAATGCACAGTACTTTCTTGATATCTGCTACACAGGACAGATAATTCCGATATTCATTCAAGCTTAAAGCTACATGCGTACAAGTGTGCTACAACAGGAAATCACAGAGCAAACACACCTAAAGCCACCGCAGCAGCACCAAGAAGCCCACCAGCACCACCAGTCACCCGCGGCATTCCACCGGTACTCACAGCCGACGAGCCGGAGGAGGAAGTCTTGCTCGAATCCTTCGACGCAGTAGACTTTCCAGAGGCAGAGGTAGTCGCAGCCGTAGTAGCGGCAGCACTAGCAGTGGCAGGCGTCGCACTCGCACCTGCAGCCCCAGCCGTAATAGTCACCGCCATGAGAGGCAGATCGTTGGAAAAGGTCGAGGAACTGACATCAGGGAAATTCGCCCCCGTGCCGCTGGCCGTCTCGGTACACGCGGCGGTGGTGGTCCCGCCAACAGAGCACCTGACGGTCCAATGACTAGTGCACATTAGCTATCTGTTTGGCAGAGGTCAAAGTCACTTACAAATCCTCCTCCGGCTCATCCATCTTCAGCACGGTGGTCGTGGGGCCGGCGACAACGGTCAGGCCGGGGCCCATGCCGCAGTCGGAGCTATCTGTGCCTGGGGGGCAATTGATGCTGTATGTTGTTGCGGTGGCATCCTAAATAGGTGAGATGTGGTTCGAGATCAGGAATTGACATGAGTGCTTACACTACCGACGATGGAAGCGACAAGAGGCTGTGGGTCTGCGCCGTAGATCAACATGGAGGTGACGGTGTTCTGGGCTGAGACCAGGCCGGCAGCAGCCAGGCTGAGGAGAAGTTGAGATGCAAGCATTATCTTTGATGAGGTAAAGACAGACTTGGTCAAAGGGATGCAAAAGAAGGGCAAAAGAAGGTATGATAAATATTTGATGAGATTCAGGGGCAAAAGACCGAAGAGGAAAACCTTACTTGAGACCTGCATAAAGTTAGATTAGTCATACAGATGCATATATCTTATGCACTGCACAAAGCCATTGGACGGTTGTATAGATGTAAAGAGCCAAAGTATGTAAAATAACAGACATATTTACTCCATTCTCATTGTCAATTGATTCTCCCCCCTCCCTATCCTCACCCAATTACTGCGCTCTACAATCTGCCCGTCAAAAGCCCACCACCACCGCTCGAAAACCACCTGTCCAACCTCCCATGCCTGAGGTGCGAATGGATCTCCTCCCCGCACTTTGATTCCCTCTCCACTAACGTCTTCCATATCATAAACGAACCGAAGAAGACCAATGGGATCCTGCGCAGACTTTGGACGCATCTCCGGCGGTAGATGGAACACCTGGATGAGTTTATCCCGGGTACTCGGCCAGGGAAGGAGATCCAGGATGGGATGATGAGGGATGAGCCGCTGAGAGATGGTCGGTTGAAGATGACGGGGAAGCTCAATGGCATCGTCGGCTCCGTTGAGGCTGAATTGTGTTGAGGATGGCGATGAGGCGCCAGATGAGAGAGACGGTGGCGAGGAGATCGCCTGGCTCTCGGGTCCTTGGTAGAATGGGCTCGTGGCCGTGAGGTCCCACAGTATGCCGGCAATATTCAACCGCTGAGCTACCTTCATTGCGGCATTGAGAAGTGTGAGAGAGGGGATGTCCAGCAGATGATCATCTGGGAAGGAGAAGGTCGCAGACTGGTATGTCTGCAGCCTGTCCGAGAGACTGCAATCACCTCCAGGGATGTTGGCGCTCTGAGTGGACGCAAATGAGGGTAGCAGAGCCGGGAAGAAAGCTGTTGGTGAAAAATAGGAGAATCGATTCTCTGCCGCAGACACCGGCATTGTGGTCATGTCCTGAGCAGGAACTACAGGCAATAGTGGAGATTGCGGGAATGAGAGGAATTGGCTTGGAGAAAGTGCATCTGGAATAAGGTCCATGCTTTGATCGCTGAGTTCGGGCATAATTTGGGAGGGGACAGCCCAAGGGCCATCGGTGTTAAATGAGATATCCTCCATTGTCTGTGAGACACTCTGTGAGACACTGTCTCCTGTCGAGTCTAAGGTGGTTCTGGTTTCAACACCTGCTTTCAAAGGCAGCGAAGCGTCCCCGACTTGGGTTTGCCCGTCCTCTGATCCAGAGCGATTCTCCGCTCGACCCTGCAGAGTCTGCCATTGCTGTCTCTTTCTCTCGCCTGCAGGAGTCAGCATCGATCCAGAAATAGGCTCCCACTACATACGGTATCTTCTTTGAGCTAGCACGCCCAGGACTCGTTTTCGCTCCGCCGGGTCCTCGGTGATGTCCGGTACGGCGGGAACATCTCGCTTACGCTTGTTTGGCATTTTATCGGCCAATCAAGAGGGTTGTTTCTCAGAGAAAAGTAGACTGGAGTTGTGACAGAGATGTGAGAGAAGAAGTCTGCGAGATGAGGCCAAACTAGGACAAGAAGAATGAGCGGGGAATCATAACGTTATGCTTATGGCCACGCACTTAGTGATGAGGTTTCAGTAGGCCATGCGGCGAAAATTGCTGGTAGAATGCGTGGCGATAGTTACGAACACGACAATCACCTAACGCCTTGACCGTGATTGGACGATGCAATGGGAATTTACAGACGTCTCGTATTCGTCGGCTTGTTCATATTAAGCAGGCCAAGCTGCATGTTATGTTCGAGACCAACGTTATGTTGGACCTTCATGAGGTTATAGTCTCGAGAAAGGGCTATATAAGGCCGATGAATTCGAGATGTAGGGGCATCAGAACATCATCATCAATCTTATCTTAGAAAATCATAACATTGTTAATATAGTGAGTCCTCAAGACACAATTCTCAATGTCTCAGAACAATTACTCCATCCATTCGATTGCCGCGGCATACGCCGTTGGTCTGTTCCCTCACGGCTATTACTATGTCAAGATGATGGCCAATGCCAAGGAACACGCTACAAACGTTGTGTATGCTTAAGCAACTGTGTTAAAACAGCATGACAGCTAATAAAATGATACAGACCGCGCGAGAACCTGTCCAATCTCAAAGGCCGCCTGCCAGCCGAGATCTGGCAGCAGCTCGCCAAAGCCCGAGGCGCACATCTGAATGCGATGGAAGGATTGCCTCTTTTCGCTGCTGCAATGGTAAGGCAGACATTCTCAAGAAATAGTATGAAACTAACGCATATCACGCAGCTCGCTGGAAACCTGGCTAAACTTCCCTCGGGCGACTTGAACACGCTTTCCTTGGAGTATATCGGCATCCGACTCTTGTATACGGCTTTGTACATGGGAGCCAAGTCTGAGGCTATCAGCTATTTGCGTACGGGTGTGTGGGCATGGAGCATATCGATCCCGATTTGGGGATTGATCCAGGCTGGACGGGCTCTGAACAATGGTGAGTGACGATGATGGGATGTTGTCTGATGTAACAGCAGTTGCCTCGGCGTTTTTCAGAAAGTAGATAATATGTCTATTGTATATTTGAGAAGAAAGCAGTGGAAAGCAGTCTTTGAGATTGAAAAAGTCACCCCATACTCTGAGTAGCATTGGCGAACGGTAGCCCTAGCTATGGATAATGCATCTATTCACCTCGTAGGAGATAGAGCAAGTAGGACCTACTACTCATCAGACTCACCATGTTTGCCGAGTCGCAAGGATTGTCCTATATACATGTTCCCTTATGTTATAAACAATTTCCAGTAATCAAAACGCATTCCGCTGTTAGCGCCCCAGATGCACTTGTTCACAAGCAGCAGTCATTAATCTTGTCACAAGGGTAGTCAGTCCCAGCTCCGGCCGCTTCTCCGCTACCTTTACAGCAATCTCGTTGACCCATGCCACTAAGGCGAGGCTTTCTTCATTATTTCCCGTCTCTTGGCAATCGATTATGTCCATACATAAAAGGAAGAAAAATATGAATTGGTGGAGTAACAGAATACTGCAGGATATAGTTGTAAGCAGACAAACCCAGATATGCTAGGTCATAGGTGACGTACCTGATGCCCCAGAAAGCCCGCACCGTCGAACCCATGAGAGATTGAAACACTTTTAAAGACTTTCTGGTGAGGTCTACTGTGTGTCGTGGCAAGTGGTCACTGTCCCGGTTGCATTTCTTGGCCTGGGAAAGGACGATAATGATCTTGTAGCTTGTGAATAGAATGTCTGCACAGAACCACGTGTCGATGAGAGCTTTGGTTGTGCTCATGAGCTCCTCCTGTACTGCGTAAGCCGAATGGACTACATCAACAGTACGGAACTGAATGGTGACTTACTACGTTCCAGTCAGACAAGATTGCTTCCACCTCGGCGATAAGACCGTCCAGCCAACTATCGTATGTAGCTGAATTCTGATCGGATTCGGCATTCACCCAGTCCAAGTATTTCAGGACAACTAATGTAAGACGCATCGATGCCAGGAAGTGTATTTGAATAAAGTGCGTCGATGCATCATCAACGCCAGTGATCGAGGGGTCAGGGAGATTAACCGCCCATGACCCTTCAGGGAGCAGCGCTGGCTTACCGAATGAGATACGAAAAAGGCAGTCGGTCCGGAGAAGGTGCCAAAATTCGAATCGCATTCGATTTCGCTCGACCTCATTCCTATGTTCAGAGGATTCCTGAGCTGGACAGATATGACCCTCGGGTCCTTTATGGTTCCCATCGATGGAGAAATATCCAAGAGCTCTTGCAATGCTGCAGGCATGACCAAAGACCTTCCATGAGAGTTCAGTATTGCAGCCTTCCAGCGTCATCGATATCTGTTAAAAATCGTCAGCAAGTGAGCTCACAAGAACGTTTCAAGCTCATAATCACCATCAGAAAAGCGGCAAATAGGTCCTCCTGGGTATCCTCCAGTTGGTCCAACCAGCTGTCTACGAGTTCAATGCTTGTGTGGTAAAGGGATTTTACGATGCCACCCCTTTCCACGGTGTTATCCGGATCCATAAAAACCCCTTGAAGCAGCACACTGTAATAAATGAGCCTTGACGTAGTATCGCTCGGGGGGAGCTGTCCGGCGGACTAGCGGCAAACTGATTGGCAATCTATAAAGGAAAAGGTCCTTAGCATACCAGAGCGCCCATACCGATAGAATGTTTGTAGAATTTGGATATTACCACGGATTGATGGGAGGGCAGGTATATAAGTTCTTTCACTCTCGATTTCTTGAACCTGAGACAAAGCTGTGGGACTTTTCAAATTGGAGGCATCATGTCATTCATTCTGTATGTTGCATTACAAGAATAGGCATACAGACTCGTAGTATCGGACGCCACTCGCTCATGAGGTCTCTCCGTCTCTTCTTCTTTGTTACCTGTCTAAATTGGTACTTAGCTACACTGACTGGCCCAACTTGCTTGCATCCTGGTGCAAGAGATGTCGGGCACGTCATTTCCATGAGTGTAGGTTACTATTTTCCGTTAAATTTTAGTACCATTGCTAAGTTCCCTTAGCCAAACATGCCCTATTCAAGAAGCCATCTGAGTGTGCATCATTAGAGTAACATTTCACCTGGCGACTTCCGTATTTCGCGGTTTATCAAGAGGCATCGCGCTTACGACTATCCATGGTGGTCATGCCCCAGGGATAACATCCATCTGTGAAGTGGCGAATTTGTCGTTTGAAATTTTCCAACCAAGCGCCCTCACGATAAGCATAAATCTCCCTATGTAACAAGTTAGGTAATTTTCTAAAAGAACGACAGCTCTCGCACGCACAATTTATCGTCCTTGCGACGGATGCGGTGCAGATCATGTGGAAAATTGCTATCAAGAGGTCCAGAAAATTGATCTTTCTCGAGATCAATAACAATATGGATTTTGGGGTCATTTTGGAGAATATGGGGGTTAGGCGGCTGGACATGAATAAAATGACGTTCAGTTGCAAGCTCGTCTGAGGAGTGTCCATGTTTTTCGAGGTATAACCGAACTGGTTCATAGACATCATCCGGATTCAGATCCGATTCCGATAGACGTAGAATGACCCGTTTGGGTCCACTCATCTTGGTCGGTAGAGAAAGAGAAATGTGACGAGGTTATGCCACAGAAAGCTGGGGTGATGGGTTTTTTATGTTCATTGATTTAGGCGGTAGGTTCTCAGACCAATCACTAATCTTCATCTCATCCCTCATAAGCGATATCTTATCCATAAGTAACCGTCGTCCATAAGTTTTGGTCCCATGTTCGTCTACTTCGAGAACGCTCGCTTGACCCTCAGGAGGTTGATGTGACGAAGCTGTCTCGGGTATCATTTCTTTGATCTCATTGCGAATATCTTCGGCGGGACGGGGAAGTTTGTCGTGAGTTATATTGATAGGAGTCGCAACTACCGAGGAAGGCACTGAGAATTAGCAACGAGTGCCTTTTTGAAGGTCAACCAAAGGATCAATATCTCGCGCAAGCAGGTTTCATTACTTACCCCGAGAAGAATCGATGAAATAACCATAGGCTAAAATGTTTCCAGGTCGCTGGAATGGAGGGGGAGGGGGTAAAGATGGTTCCAGTGGCTGGGCATCAGGCATGAAATCGCTGGGTTTCAGTCACGTGATATGAGAAGGTTCGATTTTCTCTCATTTCGACGCTTGGGAGCCAACCTTGGGAAGCACTTATATTACGTGTTGGGTCTTGTATTTTGAGACGCCATGATTCAATATGCGCACATCTTCCTCGAGCCATATAGATAGGGCGTGCCCTCTCTGAATAGCTTCACGTTCCACCTCTTCGAGAGAAATGATTGCTGGGTCTCCAGCCTCAGGCATTAAGTCACGAGACTAACTTAACAAGATAAGTTAACTAAATTAGCGTCGACCTTGCAAGGTTCTACCAATCATACTGCATCGTGTGATAGGTCACGTGCATTTAAAAGTTGCCCTGTAGTGAGTAGTCATCATTCCCCCTTCACTTAAAGTGATGCTGGTTTCCCATGGGAAGTCTTACCTTATTCTATCTTCCTTTACTCCTTATTTTTTCCAGCATGAGGGTACTGCGATAGTTGCAATGGCCTATATAGTCCACCTTTTGGCACTTCATTTCAAATATTTCCAGTTGTGCTTCCTGGCCTCTTAGACGCCTATTCCTTTCATTTTCTTCAACGGCAAAATGGGGAAGTCATCAACACAAGGATGACGAAGAGCGATTGCAATCTGTGAGTTTGGGTCATTAGGCGCAGGGAATTGTTTTCTCACTTGTCTCCTTAGGACGTCGGCTGGTCTTCTGGAGATGCTTCTCACAAGATCATTATTCGACGAGCCGCGCAACGCCCAGATAATCACAAGCTCTTGATCATTGGAATCTTTGCAGAAGTATACCTTTTGGACGACAAGATGATCAGAAAGGTCCCCCGCAGTGAGAGTGAAGAAGATATGCGACCGATCATCCGCGAAGCTATGGTTTATGAAATCCTCGGCGTTCATCCGCGAATTGCTGAAAGGCTCTCCAGAGGCAGATCTGACTATATCGACATCAAATACTATCAGCATGGTGATCTTGCGAATTATTGTCAGAAAAACACGATCACTGCCGAACTTCGATCGAAATGGTTCCAGCAGATCCTGGAAGCTGTCGTCGTTATTCACAGCCATGGTGTCATTCATTCGGATCTCGCACTCCGGCAGTTTTTCGTGGATGACAAATTAAATTTACGACTTGGCGACTTTAACTCTTCTCAGTGCCCAGGTCACCTAGCACTAGGCTACGAGAAAGCATCACATTGCCTGCCACGAGATTATGACCTTCCGAACACTGAAGCCTCCGACATCTTTGCTTTAGGGTCTACGCTATACGAGCTAGTTGCTGGAAAGGCCCCATATAGCGAACTTGCTGGGCCCAAATCCGATGATCCGGGTGTGATCAAAGCACAAATCCAACGGCAGCACGAGGTAGACCATGAGATTGAATCTCGATACAAAAACCACGTCTTCCCTGATGTCTCTGGTTCGTTCGGCGGGAACATCATAGTAGGTTGCTGGAGAGGCAATTTCACTGACGCGAAAGAAGCGCTTGATCGGTACATGAAGGGTTAGTTTGCCATCGGGGATAGCATGCAGGGAGCAGACCTACAACCAGAAAACATCTCACTTGATCGCAGCCTAAAGCTATCCGACTTTGATTGCACGGCCGAAATCGGGGACAACTTATGAAGCTTGTATTGCTCCGTATGGCAGAATACTCAATTGCAAGGAGACGGGTCAAGGAGAAGCCCTCGGACAGAGCAATTCGCCCTCGGTTCCTTGTTCTACTTTATAAACTACGACTTCGAGGTTTATGGGGATCATTGTCTTACAGAGGACCCTTATGAGCATGTTCCGAAGGTCATGGACCTACTACAGAACATGGATGTTCCAAAACTGGATGGAAATCCACTGGTTGACGATGTCATCGATAAATGCTGGCATAACAAATATGCCACCGTTTCAGAATTGGCCTCGCACGCAAAAATGCTTTTGGATGAAAGAATCCACGGGGCAGGAAGTAGCGGAGAAGGTAGCGAAGAGGAAGGAAACAGAGAGGAAGTGAGCAATGAAATGAGAACTCCCATCGAGCCATCCTCCATCGCCCGGTGGCGTATGGTTATTTGCGTCGTAATTCATGGGTTATGGTATGGCCTTTGGCAATAGTGGATGTCTGTCTCACCCAGCACCAATGGCGATGTAGCAATTGCTGAGCGAGCTAAACGGGATAACTGTGAACGACATGGATAAAAACCTCCTGGGAGAGGAATTTCGTTCTAGTCTCTGAGGTTGGGTAGAAACTGCGTTTAAATGAGAAAGCTTCCATGCTGGGAAAGTCCCTGGCTTTTCTGTCTGTCAATACAACAGTAATCGTCGAAGTATCAGGAGGTTGAAGGAGGTACGAAAGATCAGCGGGGAATTCGCAGAGTCCGAAAGCCCGGATGCATCGTGCCTCAGGTGCGCGGATTTCCACAAATCCCCGAATGTCCGGCCATGTACGGAGTAGAGCTTCCTTTTAAGCTCATTATTATTATTACTATCCCCTTCGACGCTATTACCCTGTCCTATAGCGGATGTATTATGCTTATCCTGGAGTTAACCGTGCTAATAGAGGGTATATTTCCTCACGACCCCTCGCCCCTCCACATATAACGCTTTGATGCTGCCTGGAACGCCACGTCTTTCTCTTTTGGGTAACTCGTATTCAACTGCTTTCGATTTGTTGATGACTTATCTATTTAATGAAATTCTCATCCTCTGTCCTGTTCATCTCTTAAAAGATGGTTTCTTGTCTGCGACTCATTCCCAGCGTACTTCACAATGGGTAGCTCCGAAGACAACCCTGCAACAAGTGCGACCGATGAACAAGCAGTGCTGGAAGAACAAGATAAGAGCGAAGGGAAAAATGATGGAAATTCCGCGCAGACTGCCTCGCTGGGAAACTATTTCGTATGACGTTTCTCCCAGGGTTGCTTGCTATGCCACTGACAAGACTACAGAGAGCCCTTTCCTACGCAACGGGGAAGGATCGCCTGGTACTAGCCGTGGCATTGATATCTGCTATTGCGTCCGGTGTTGTATGTTACTTGAGAGCTGCATTGAAAAAGACAAAGCTTTATAACTCACATCTTCAACCAGCCTTTACCACTGATGAACATTGTGTTTGGGAACCTTGTTGGTGAATTCAGTCGATATTTCATGCCCGGCACAAATGTCACCGAAGCGCAATTCAAATCGTCTGTCAATAAACTGAGGTAGGGGGGCAAAATACGAATTCTCGTTTCATGCGCTGACTTTAGAACAGTCTGTACATTGTGTACCTGTTCATAGCAAAATTCTGCCTGACTTACTTCTCCATGGTAGGTGGAAACCTGACAGAGAACGATGAATATATTCTCACCATTGCAGTTCTGCTTTCGCGTCACTGGTCTCCGAGTATCAGCTGTTATTCGTCTGGAATATGTCCAAGCCCTCTTCTCCCAACCGATCAGTAAAGTCGACCAAGTTTCCGTGGGCACAGTCACGAATACAATCACGACGCTGTCCAATACAATCCAGCAGAGCATATCGGACAAGCTCGCCATTCTTTTCCAATCCGTCGCCCTTTTAATCGCAGCATTCATCATCGCCTTCAAGTATTCGTGGGCCTTGACTCTCGTCACAAGTTCTGCGCTTCTTTTCGTTGTCGTCAGCTGCAGTGTGACTCTACCGCTTATGACGAAGATTCAGCAGAGGATTGACAAGGCAGATGAGAAGCATTCGTCCATAGCTGCCGAGGTATTTGGGTCTATTCGGACCGTGGTTTCCCTCGGCGCTCAGGAAAGTCTTTCCAAAAGATATGCCACCTGGGTCGAAGAAACACGGAAACGTGGACAGGGGTTGTCTTTTATCATAGGCATCCACTTTGCTATGGTGTTTTTCGCCCTATACGCTAGCTTTTCCCTCGCCTTCTGGTTTGGTTTAAAGTTATACAGGGAGGGCCATATCAAGGAGATCAACACAGTCATCACGTAGGTCTATCCTCTCGCTTCGATTCCTCGGCCTGGTTACCCTCTAATAAATCAACAGGGTGTTCTTTTCGGTCATGATCGTGGTAAGTGTATTAGGGAACATCGCATCGCCGCTGATTATCGTGTCCAAAGCCGCCAGCGCTGCGGGTTCATTCTTTGAGTTGATCGATTCCGAAAAAGTGGAGGCCGGGGGCCTTCGTGAACCCCAGGCCTCAGCCCACGTTGACATAATCTTTCGAGACGTGCGCTTCACGTACCCTACCCGGCCGGACGTCCCTGTTCTCAAGGGACTAGACCTTCGGTTTCAGAATGGGAAAACGACCGCATTAGTTGGTCCCTCTGGTTCAGGGAAAAGTACAATCGTTGCGCTGATAGAACGATGGTATCAGTTGGCGATGAGTCCAGAAGACCGCAACCAAGGAAGTATCTATGCGGGGCCGCATGATATCAACAGTCTGGACCTGAAGTGGTGGAGATCACAGATTGGACTCGTCCAGCAGGAGCCTTTCCTTTTCAACGATACTATCTTCAACAATGTTGCCTTTGGCCTTATCGGAACAAAGTGGGAAAAAGAGCCTGACAGTGTGAAGGGAGAACTGATAGAAAAGGCCTGCAGAGAGGCCTTTGCTGATGAGTTCATCCAGCGTTTACCAGAAGTATGTCGGTCCCTTGGAATAACCAGGCATGTCTGACTGCGACAGGGCTATGCAACCATCGTGGGGCAGAGCGGTATCAAATTGAGTGGGGGGCAACGACAGCGCATTGCAATCGCTCGGAGCATCGTGAAAGAACCCAAAATCTTGATATTAGACGAGGCGACGAGTGCTATCGACGTTCGCGGCGAGAAGATTGTACAGGCGGCCCTGGATAGGGTTTCCAGAAACCGCACAACCATCATGATTGCACATCGACTCTCCACCATTCGACGAGCAGATCATATAGTTGTTATGAAAGGAGGTGTGAACGTCGAGGAGGGAACACACGATGAGCTCCTCCAGCGAGAGGGCGGAGTATACCGCGACCTTGTCAACGCCCAGAGGCTTGAGCTGTTGGCAGAAGACGACAGTCACACAGGTAACGCGATGCTGGAATTACAAGAAGAGGCCAAGTCTCCCACCATGTCTCTGCAAGAGAAAGTGAACGATGAAGGGAACGCCCGAGACAAAAGCCGGGGGTTTATTAGGACTATCGGGCTGCTGTTATATGAGCAACGTGCGCGTTGGCCGTTCTACGTGGCGCTCCTCATCAGCACAGCTGGGGCTGGAAGTAAGTCTAATCCTGAACGCTATATGGGTTTGAGCTAAATATCGTTCGAAATAGCGGCGTTTCCGCTTCAGAGCTGGTTGTTCGCGAAGCTCATCCAAGTGTTTCAGTTTACGGGCCAAAAGCTGGTTGATGCCGCCAATTTCTGGGCCTTGATGTTCTTTTTGCTGGCGCTCGGCGTGGGGGTTCTTTACTCTACTGTAGGATTCACTGCCAATTCTCTCTCAGTGGTAGGTGCATATGTCCCATTTGTGCTGCTCACGCTAATTCCACATAGAGGATATCCGAAGCCTGCCGAAAGGAATATTTTCAAAACATTCTAGGGAAGCCCATACCCTTTCATGATTTGAGCGAAAACGCTTCTGGCTCCATTGTTTCCCGACTAGCCACCGATCCAAAGCAGGTTCAAGAGCTCATCGGTCTCAATGGTGCATTCCCTCTCATCTCGACGTTTAGCATGATTGGTTGCATTGCGATTGCCTTTTCCTTTGGGTGGAAGCTGAGTCTGGTGACGGTATTTGCGGCCTTACCATGCACGTTCCTGGCCGCCTTTATGCGCATCAGATACGAACTGCAGTTCGAGGCAATGAACGCCGAGGTCTATGCAGGTAGCTCGCAGTTTGCAGCGGAAGCCATCGATGCGTTCCGCACAGTTTCATCATTGACGATGGAGGACGCCATCCTCGATCGATACACCCAACTCTTGCGGGAACAACAGAAGAAGGCTTTCCGGAAGGCGAGATACGCAACTTTGATCTTCGCTTTCTCAGACAGCGTGGAGTTGTGTGCGATGGCACTCACTTTCTGGTTCGTATCACTGCCTGATAGCTACAATAGAATGTTACTGACGGTGACAGGTATGGTGGGCAGCTTCTCGCCTCCAGGGAGTACCAACCGACCTCATTCTTCGTTATATTCATGGCGATCATCCAGGGCGGACAATCGGCCGGCCAGTTTTTCAGCTTCGCATCCAACTTTGCTCAAGCCGCTGCGTCCGCGAACAGGATATTGAACTCGCGGCCGCAATTAGGTGAGCTCAGTGCAGCCAGCATCGAAAAGAAAGAACTCGTGCGTAGCGGTGACCGGACAGGGGCTGGTGTCGAATTCCGTGACGTTGCTTTTAGATACGCTTCACAGGATGTCCCTCTTTTCACCGGGCTTAATGTCAGTATCCAGAGCGGACAGTTTGTCGCCTTCGTTGGACCATCTGGCTGCGGGAAAACCACCGTGATCTCACTCCTCGAGAGATTCTACAGTCCCTCTCAGGGCGTGATCCTTTTCAACGGCGAAGACATCCGTACCCTTGAAACGACATCCTACCGCAGGGCACTATCGCTGGTCGCCCAAGAACCACGCCTCTTCGAAGGCAGTATCCGCGAGAACGTCACCCTCGGCCTCGACCAGTCCGAGTTCACCGAGGAGGAATTGATCCAAGCTTGCAAAGACGCAGAGATCCATGATTTCATCACATCGCTTCCAGAAGGCTACGCCACCGAGCTCGGGATCAAAGCACAGACATCGCTCAGCGGTGGCCAGCGCCAAAGACTCTGTATTGCGCGTGCCTTGCTCCGGAAGCCATCGCTCCTGCTTCTGGACGAGGCAACCTCGAGCCTGGACTCCCAGTCAGAAAAGGTGGTGCAGGGTGCTATGGAACGCCTGGCCCGGAAGAGGAGCCTGACGATCGTTGCGGTTGCTCATCGATTGGCTACTATCCAGAAGGCGGATACCATCTTTGTTTTCGGGGCAAGCCATGCTGGCCAAGCGTCTCGGATCGTTGAACAGGGGACGCACCAGGAACTGCTTCGGGCTAAGGGGACGTATTGGCAAATGGTAAGTAGCCTTCGTTTTTTGACATCAAGTCTCACTAACTGTGGTATTCGTAGTGTCAGGAGCATGCGCTTGACAGGTGATACCATCCACACACGACTGCATACTGCTGTTAGCAGTAGTTTAGGGATGGTCAGCTAGCTTTGCTCTATCGGTGGGAGCACTTTATTGTAATATAGTTTACCCCTCAGTTCCTAACATTAAACCGTCCACTCTGATTTATACTCCCTCAAACGCCTAACCCTCCCTCTATAGTACCTTTTGGCAATCCTGCCGCTCTTATTCAGTCAACCTAGTGACCGATATCATTCATCCTCATCCTGCCATCTGCCTTTTCACCCAGTACCCCATTGTTCCACACTACTCTCACCAAACAGTGCTGGGACTCGTGAAAAGTTCCCAAACAGGGAATTGATATTGTCGCTAATCAGCCGATGTAAGTATGTAAGCCGACAACCCCACATGTCGCCTTAGCCCATATAAAGACCCCTGCTCACCCCAATAATGGATATTTTCGTCTTATTTTGTTCTTAGCCTCGAAAACTGCTCCATTAGGGCTCCGGAATTAGCATCACAAGATCCAATCCCATCTGGACGAATTACAAGTGTCTAGACTGGGCTACGGACTAACGATACTACACTACAAAACGTCACGTCATCGCCCACTGACAGTCAATATTAGATTTCACTCCTATCGGAGGTTCAGACTCTCTCTCCTTATGCCTTTCATCTGCTGGAAATAACTCATTACTCTTGCTTTTCTCAATGGCAGAACGGAAAGCCGCACCCTTAATGGTCATTGCGTCCAGCGAGTCCTCAGCTGGGACTAGGGGTGTGCCTCCGCCATGTACGCCGTCTGGCCTCTCTACAGCCACGGAACATCAGTGTCCAGAGAAGCAATCAGGACAGGCTGCGCCAGATGCGGATGATACTAATCCCTTGCTGCCGCAGAACTGGCCAAGCAAGCGCAAATGGATGATTGTGGTCGTCTTGTCCTTGATGTCCCTAATGGTGTACGCCCCTAAAGTCTGTGTCAGCATATAAGATTTACTAACGCAGTCAGCAACATGTCGCTCGTCATCTGCGCGCCTGCAAGTTCTGCCATTGCTGAGGACTTTGGCAACCATGACAGCTTTCTTTCTGTCATCTACATCACGGTACCGAACCTTAGCCAGGTCATCTCACCGCTCTATATAGGTCCACTGTCCGAACGGCTTGGACGCGTGCCAGTGTGTCACTTTTTTAACGGGTTATTCCTGATCATTACCATGATTGCGGGCTTTAGTACCAGTCTCTCCATGGTCATTGTGTTCCGGTTCCTCGCTGGTTCATCCATAGCCTCCATTTGCCTGAACCCGGCTATCACGGGCGATCTATTTTCGATCAAGAAGCGTGGGTCTGCCATGTCCATCACGAGTATGATTCCCATCCTGGGCAGTGCCGTGGGGCCCATAGCAGGAGGATACATTACGCAATACCTCAGCTGGCGGTGGACGTTCTGGCTGATGGCCATCATCACTGGTGGAGTCTCAATCCTCACGGCACTTGTCTCGAAGGAGTCATATGTCCCGGCAATCCGCAGGAAAGCGCTAAGAAAGGCCAGCTCGAACGAGGAAAGGGTGAGCTTAATGTCGAAGTATATCACAGGGTGGAACATGGACACGGTCAAGGCGCTAGCTCTCCTTGTGATCCGTCCCTTTGCCATTTTAAGCAGCTGCCGCATTGCTGTGCTTATGGGCCTGTATCTGGCCGTGCTATTCGCATATATTTCGCTTATGGCCGCTACCCTTGCCACCATCTTCCAGGACGTCTACGGCTTCTCCGAGAGTCAATCCGGCCTCGTCTACATAGCGCTGAGTAAGTCTACCCTTCCAGCCCTCCGGTCAAGCTAACCCTAACATACCCGCAGCAATCGGCACGCTGAGCGGGGCTCTAATGTGCAACTTTACTCTCGACTACTTCCTACAGCGGGGTCTGCCGTTCTCCAAGCCCGTCGACGATGATGACACCGCCACCGTCCCCCGTCCGGACAACCGTCTCATCCCCATCATCCCCGGCATGCTCGCCTTCCCCGTCGGCCTGCTCCTGTACGGCTGGTCTCTTCAACAGCACCTTCACTGAATCGTGCCAACCGTTGCGACGGTCCTCTGCGGCTTTTCGCTATCCAGTAGCACCACCCCAATCATGAACTACTTGGTTGACATCTTCGGCGACCGTGCCGCCTCTGCTGTCGCGGCTGTGCTGCCTCTGCGCTACATCGCGGGAGCCTTTTTGCCTGTCGCCGCGCCGTACATGTACGCCACTCTCGGCTACGGTTGGGGCAATTCGTTACTGGCGTTTGTGCTATGTGTCGTGGCTCGTGTACCCTTGCTAGTGATAGTTCAGCCGCAGCGGATGAGGGCGCTGACTGCGGTGCGGTCGTAGAGTACTTGCTTATAGCCTGTCGTGTCAATTGGATGATCACGCACAGTCTAGTGGATAGTTGCCATGCGTCATTGGGGCAGGTGGCCGATATACTCACTTCAGATATGATTGTTCGTGGATTTATCAAATATCAGGAATAGATAGACCGAGCCTCCATGGCTATCTGATTCAGCAGCAATCTTTCAGGGGGTATCTCTCTATGCTGACAATCTTTACCTGTGATATAGAGTATAGGCTCATGAGGCCTTAGCTACCGTGCTAAAACGCAAGACTTAGGGGGTAAGCTAGTGTGCTAGGCCTTAGAGCTTATCTAGCATTAAGAGCTTGCAGAAAGACAAATATCTAACATAATGTGAGGAATAAGCTCTAAAAGTGTGCCATCTAATATAGGATTATACACCATTGTCCTGGGCTGCAACCGGATGCTCTCGTCTTGCGAGTGAGGGATGCGTGGAAGTGGTGAGACTGGAAGGTGGATTACTCTGTTGGCCGGACACCGATGTCCTGGGCTACGTCGAATGCGAATGAGGCGGAAGTGAGGCTTCATGAAATGCCTGTTATTCACCGTCCTTGAATGGCGACTGAGCACAACGGTATCAAAGTCACACGCCTCGAGGGCAGCCTACTTACACATTTTCCCAATAGTGACGGGTGCATATGCTACTGACGACACCTCGCTATTAATTTCGGTTTAGGGCCTATCACTGGTTTCTTCTCATTTGTTCTTTCTCGCTTTGCGTTTAAGAGTCGATGGGCGATATCTTTGTGGTCCAAGAGACAAGCAAAAATAAGCGCCGAACGACCATATGTGTTTCTTGAAAGGACATCGGCCCCTGCATTTAGCAAGATTTCCACTCCAGGATAATTACCGACCAGAGCAGCAAGGTGCAGTGGCGTTATTGACTGAAATCCCTCGTTAACATCGACACCTGATGTGACAAGGAGCCGTATAATTTCAGCCCATGACTGCTTTTCCTCCGGTTTCCAGGTCAGAGCTGGAGGACGGGTAATCTTTTCGACACTCGGTTCCAGAACCAAGCCATCTACCCACGACAAGTGGGGTCCCGTGGCAGCCAGATGCAGAAGAGGCCAGGTCCAGGCGGAGTCTCGAGGTTCATATTCAGCGGCCCCTGCCTCTAGAAGAATTCTGACACAATCGGGGTGACAATTTGCGACAGCAAGCCAGAGCGCTGTTACTCCGCGGCGCAACGAGGCTAATTCCGCTCCATGGGATATCAAGACACGTACCACATCTGCATGTCCATTGCTGGCGGCGAGGTGGAGAGGTGTCCCAACATCATAGTTGGATTCTTGTTTGGCGCTAGACTCAAGAAGCAGCTGAACAACGCTGGTATGTCCGTTTTCTGAAGCATAGTGGAGCGGATATACCCCGCTATAATTCCACTCGTTGACAGAGGCCCCGCTGTCTAAGAGCATCTTTACAACAGAAGGGTTGCCTCGCTGCGAAGCGAGTATTAAGGGGGTGGCCCTATGATCCCATTTCGCTTCGCTTTTTGCGCCGACGGGAGCACCAGCAGAAAGTAGGAACTTTATAGCTCTCTCATAATTCTGTTTCACCGCGACATGTAAAAGACTGTTGCCATCTTCATCGTACTCACTTATACGCCTGGTTCCAATGACGAATTCTGGAGCCAATAGGTGGCTTTCAACCAGCGCGACTTGGTCCCAGAAGTCCAAGTAATGTACGATTGTACGTTGAAGCTCAGGCAGAAGATTATAAAAGCAGTGTCGCCGGGGGTTTAGACCGAGCGACATGTCTCCGACAGAGTAATCGAACTCCAGACGGTCAGTGAGGCGCTTCATAATAGTGGTATTTCAAGGCCGGGATTGCCGAATCAAAGAGGCGTGAAATGTCTCAAATGACTGGCGGCGAAAATTAGTATCCGTTGGTTGGTGATTACCCGGGGGTTGACCTCAAGGATCTGAAGGCGTAATAGAAATCGCGTGGAAGAGCAGGAAGGGTGGAGAAAGGGGTGGAAATCACGAGGAAGTTCACAAGAAGAGGGGATTTATACTAAGCCTCACCCTGGAACCTTCCCACATTTCGACTAGTTAATCCAAAATGTACGAAATACTGGCAAGTAACTAGCCCTTTATGTGAGCGTCTGCGAAAATGGTAATTATGAAAGAGGTGGTAGGAATTCGTTCACTAGTAGGAGACAACCCTATACAGTGTCCACGCATTTGTTTGACATGGGGTCTTCTGCAGAGTAAACCAATTATGGATAGCGACTGTGTTGGATATGCTCGTGCCTAGGACAGAAATAGGGCCCCTCGTCACCTTACAAACGCATTCGGTCGTATATGGCGAAGTTAAAACAAGACCCGCCTGGCGGCATTAATCCCACTGATATCCCATCTCTGAGGTGCAGTCAGGTCCATCCACTCTTTGAAGTCACCCTCGAAAGCAGGCCTCATGATCTGCGCATACTCCCAATAATCCGGGTACCATCCCGCCCATTCCCAGTCAAGAATACCCGTGACTGTGTTCTGTTCATCAACCATAATATTGCGAGGTGCAATATCGGCGTGCGTGAACACACTACAGTCAGAGCGTGGCAGCATGTCAGGCAACTCGCGTTCGTATCGGCTTCCTCCAAAGTGAAGATAGCGCTCGTATATGCGACTTCGCAGATCTGAATCATTCATCAGGGGTCGGCCCGGATCTTGCAGATCCGCGAGCAGTGCGTCCCTTGATAGAGACCCATCGGCGAGGCATTGGAAAGGACCCTCGAGCTCTGGTGGACGCGGGATGGCGCGTATTTTGGAAATCATGTCCCAGACTTGCAGACAGACGAACTCTTTGCTCTTCTCATCCAGTGTATCCCACTTCTTTTCTAGACGCATTCCTGGAATACGAGTCATGTCGATACTTCCACGGTCACCATAAAAGTGTGTAAAAATCACTTCAGGCGAAGGAACGGAGGTATGCCTAGATACAAGTCTCATTGCTTCAGCCTCAGGCGGTCGCACTCCATGCCCAGATTTTCTCACGATGGAGAAGTCATACTCAAGTACAACCCTGCCCATCTGTCTGCCGAGAACGATAATAACCTCTTCATCAGGGGGAAGGTTTAAGATGTCTTCGGGCTTTTCGAATGAAGGGCATGGGAGCAAGATGTTGCCTTTTTTGATATATCGGTTCCCTTCTTGCAGATTTTGCATCACAAAAGGAACACCGCCAGATGGATCGGCCATCCTGTGAATATTTAATACCTTAGTGGCAATTGTATGGCTTGCACCTTTGGGCAGAGGGGTGGGGAGAAGAGGAATGCGACTCGTGTTCTTTCTAAAAGCCAGCTCTTATTGGTCGACATCGTTGCAGGTGACGAGGGTCGATGCAAAGGGAGCCGTTTCTATTGCCTAGGGCACAACCTTCCAGGACCTAGAGATTTTACTAGGAATACGCTTAGAATATATTTAATCTATAATATTTTTTTAATGAGCACGGAAACCTTTGAATAGAACTGTATCATTGTCATATCTCATCGTGTTGTATCCACACTTGGTACTTTGTCCATACTTGCTTCTGTATCTCCTCCAATGCAGAACGAGCTGCTCCAACGGCAGCAAGCCCAGAATCATGCACTGTCCCTCCAATAGCATCGATCTGGTCTCCAAGAGCTTGCCGGACTGCCTTCTTGACCAGGAGACCATCGTGACCGGCAGTCAAAATTACCAGCTTTTCGATTCTCTGTGGAATTCCATCGTCCTCGTGCCTCTCACCCAGGTGGCATTCTATTTGCCGTCAGTGAGACCCTACATAGTCATCTTGATGGACCACTCGGAGGGGAAAAAGAAAACCTACCTCTTAATGCAGTCAAATGTGGGAGGATATTGTCGGCCAGGCTATCCACATAAGCCTTCTCGACCACTTCAATATCCCGCCACGTTAGAACGGCCTTGACCTCCTCAAAGTCCTCATATCCCCAGCCTGTCAAGTCAAGCGGCCATTCGTCATGATATCCGTCATCTTCCCCGGGTCCTTTCGGCCCAGTATCCTCTGCACTGTTCCGCATCATCAAACGAGCCTGCTTCACCGGCTTCCAAAGATCACTCTCCCGCGCTCCAAGGGAAATCTGAAACCTCAGTGCTTCAGAGCCCTTGACCAAACGACTGGTCAAATGTCGATCTATGGACTCAGTACCCCACTGATCCATAGGGAGATACCCCTCTCTCATGCCGGCACGCCGGTCAGTATTATACGTTCGTGAATCCAGGTAAAACTCCCCCATGTCCAGAACCAGGTATCTTATGTCGGGATTATCGATCTGTGTCTCCTGGCTTTGATCGAACGTGGCGAGCACCGTCCGGGCCTGCGATCCGTGCGAGAGGCTGATCTCGGCTTCCCAGCATGCGGTCCACATGAGGTCGGCGAGAGTGCTGTTGAAAAACTGGGGAATAGCGACTGTCGCGGATTCAATGTCGATATCATGGTTATTCACTGCTTGTGCTTTGATCTCGGTGAGGACAGAAACGAACACTGTCTTGATATCGTCTAGTGTTAGAGATGTCGACGGGGAAGGGGAGTAGTTTACTCCGAGAAATGCCATCATAGCATGAAATGTGGTCTTTATGACTCCAAATGCTGCTTGTAGAACCTCCGACCCGGTGATGCTTTGTTGAACAGATAGTGGTACCCGACTGTAAAGCCTAGAGACAGCCAGTTTTACTCGCGCCGCCACGGCTTCAGTAATCCATGGAATCAGTCCTCTCTCGCCATACATGGCCGCTACATTGTTCAGTACGTAGGCTTCTTGACGAAGGTGACGCATATGAATTGCATACGTGTCATTCCGTCTGGGGATAACCTTGGCAATTATCGAGACATTATCAGATGAGTGCGCATATGCGGCCGTTCTGCCACTCAGTAAGACATTGGCAATCCTGAGTACCCTGGATCAGGGAGCACTGACATGACCTCAGGGCCGAAATCGATTCCAATCGGTTGGGACTCTCCGCTGGCTCTTACTGGGAGTATAAGACAGTAGACAAGCGCCAGGACCGCTGTCAATATCCTCTGGAGGAACTGCATGGATATATTATTGATGTTCCCGTTTTCATTTGTGATATTGCAGAGGTCTTCCTCGTTAATATAATAGTCTTATAAAAGTGCCAAGATCTGCCAAGTTGATAACCCCAGTGTTGGTCTGAAACATGGCCAATAAACCCAGGCCTAGGTCCTGACCTAAGCAATAAGGGGGTAGCGCGCTCTATAAAAAGCATCTGATCTGGGGATGGTGCCAACTGCCAATTGACTGTGAAATCAGAATCCACTGTGGAATTCCTGTCAACAAACAGAGTATCACCATGCGCAATTAATGCAAGCCAGGCCACGAGGAGTAAGCTTCATAATTCAGAAAGGACATTTATCATCTACATACAACATTCAGAGACAACTATAACCTGCTTTCTTGTCTGATAACTATTATAGCGCTACTTGTCAGACGCAACCCGTCCAATGGCCATGGCCAGTTCAAGTCATGAAGAAAGGAACCGCCCTCCTCCACCCCCTCCACCCCCTCCACCCCCTCCACCCCCTCCACCTTCGAATCCTCACTCCAAGATATCTCCCTATGTTCTGAAGCTCAGGAGCGCGCCTCCCGATTATTTCTACCAGCCCCCAAAGAAGCCAGAACCTGTCGATTTCTTTGCTGCACCCACTGGTCCCTACTTCGTTTACGGCACATTAACAGATCCGTTAATGATCTCGGAGATTCTCGAGCTGCCTGAGGAACCAAAGCTGCGACCTGCATACATTCTGGGCTACGAATGTAAAATGTGGGGTCAATATCCTGCCCTGCTCGATTGCCCGGGCTCGGTGGTTGAAGGCGCAGCGTATCATGTCCGTACCACGCAGGATGCAGAGAGACTTGCTGCGTATGAGACTGGAAACTACCGTGCCGAACATTGTCTCATCAGATATACAGATGGCAAAGAGCCGTCTGAGGATCTGGGGTACACTTTCAAGTTTGTTGGGGATCTGAGCGAGCTGAGCGAGGGCGAGTTTGATCTAAAGGTCTGGTTGAGACGGATGGGGAGACATGCTGCGGCTGATAAGTTGGAGGCTGCTAAATGCGAGAAATAGAGGACAGACTTTATTCTTTGTCCGCTCAACTGCAATAAGTCTATCAACCGTAGTGCCAATATTTACCTAAGAGTGGTGCACGGAAATCTGCATAGAATACCAAAGAGGGTTCAGGTCACTTGGTAACTAGCTCACACTGAAGACCAAAGAATGCCGTCTATGATTATTAAAATTTAGAGATGAGTGATAAACTATGTTTATCGGATCATAGAATCAATTAAGCAGGCGTTTGCATCCTTTATAGAAGGGTGGAATTGTGGGAAAGTTAATCCATATTATTCCCAAACTGAATTGAGGCTGATATGCCTATAAAACAACCCTTAATGTGATTATCTATATAGAGGAAACCCGCAGTCCTCCCACCTATAGGCCTTTGTTATATAGATCCCTCTTTTACCTGCAGAAAATAAGTGCTTATAAGAAGGGCAGACTAGTAAATAGGAATAGAGTAGACACTACCATCCATGTGGACGCGATTCAGCCAGGTTTGCTGATTGTACTCAAAGACTGTCAGCTATCGGAGTTAGAGAGACGGTTTAATAAGAGGGTGCATGATCCAACGCTTGCTCGCCTTGTTTCAGTTATTCGGGGGTTGATGCGACTCCTGCCATCGAGTCGTATGAAGGCATCCGAGGCACTAGAATTGTTGAGGCCAGGAGTGCGGACAGAATCGGAATCCGACTTGAGATACTGTATGACTTAATCTAGCTCCGGGTTGTATGATTGTAAATAGCGACGAGGCCGCCACCAATTGCTTGTGGTCGGTTGTGCTTGCCTCTGGATATTGTGCTGTGGGCTGCAGCTGAGCTCTGTCGGATAGACCAATCATCTTCCTGCTCCTTATGCATGAATACAGGACGCGCAGAAGTACTTTAGTCATAGTAATAGAACCATTAGCTCTTTGTCGCATGCTCAGATGTGACTGAGCTGAATAAGGACATTACATCCCTTGGCTCCCGCCACAATGTTAGTATGTGCATGCTCATCCACCTTTACTTAGCTTCCACAAGGTGGTACAAGTCTATGATAGGATGTTTGGGCAGCATTGGGAGTACAGCCAGTTTATCACACAATAATACTAATACTAATGTATAGTTGATTCAGGGTCATTGAGCCTGGTCATCCAGTCTGAATGGGCATGCTGAAAAATATAAAAGCCTCTCTGACTGCTGCATTTTCCTGTTAACTTGACAAACTTGCTTTGCTGTGCACTCAAATCTTGATTATCGCCTTATCCTTAAAGAAGTCAAATCCTCCATCATGATGAAGTTTCCGACTATTACGGCTGCCATTCTTTCGTCTGCCTTCCTAGCAAGCCCAGGTGTCATAGCAGATACATTGAAATATAATCGCGAGTATGACTACGCTCAAAATACTGCACTCACCTTATTTTCCTGCTCAGACGGTGCCAATGGCCTCATGACAAGATATGGCGTAAACAACCTCCAACAACTCCGCAACAAGTTACAACCAAATACATATGTCGGTGCCTCGTCTGCTGTTGCAAAGTGGAACGATCCAAACTGCGGGAAATGCTTTAGAGCAACGAACCCCAGCAATAATAAGTCATTAAGCTTCGTGGTTATCGAGCAAAACTCAGCTGTTGTCACTGGTGAAGAGGGATTTTGTCTTCTTTCTCCCTCTGGAACGACCTCAGAGGGGACGCTTACGGTGGATATCGCAGAGCTGCCATCTCAGAGTTGCTGGAAATGAGATAGGGAACAGATATTTTCACTGCCTTCCTTCCATTATTACTACTGGATGACGGCGTCAAGTCAGGTTCATGTTTGCCAATGTTCGGAATCCAGAGGCATGAAGGTGGTATACATAAGGATTTCAATACTGACCTATTCAAACCCTCCACCACTTCATCTGCTGTAGTTAGTGATCCATACAGTCTTTTCTTACAATCAAGCACACTCTCAGTACTACTTTGCAATGCTTACCGCAAGTTCAGTATTACTTTTGTCTCGCCCTGAATAGAACCTCACTTTACGTGTTCAGAGAGTCTTATTGGCCCAGATGCCAAGATTATATCATGTGATATCAGATTGACCCCTCTCATGACTCAGATGGACAAGTAAGATTATCTTCCTCATCGAGTACCTCAATGTGAACTGCGAGAGCATTACTCCTTTGAAATGTCCTCTATAGCGCCCAACAGCTCGTTCTCCCTCTCCACTCGTCTCCTCTGCTACCTGGGCCCTCCCTCCGCCCTTCTGCTCATAGCCACCACATCTCCAAAAACCGCCCTTCTCTCCCCCCTAAACCTAGTCCCAACAGCCGTGTTCTACAGGAAATGGAGAAAACGCAGCAGAGCGTCTCCCGCTCGCCACGCGGACCTAGAACCACTCATCTGGACTTTCACCTTGAGCGGCACCCTCGGTTTAGCCGCCGCAGCAGCTGTCCAAATGGGAATTTGTCAAGCCGTCAGCGCTGTCCTCTTTTCTTCTGAAGAGCTCCGCACTGAGTTCTGGGCTGAATTTTCTCGTACGACTATTGCTGGGTTAACAGAGGGGCAACTTCATCGTCGTGCCCAGCTAGCTTCCTCATGGCAGAACTGGGTTTTCAACGGCGCTTTGACGTATCTTGCCGCTGGGCTAGTCGAGGAAGTCCTGAAATATATTCCGGTCATCTATGCGCGACGGAGAGACGCCAAGAAGAAGCAACGCCGCGACAGGGCGTACATTGACTACGTCCTTGCCAGTGCGTTGGGCTTCAGCGTCGTTGAGAACATTGGGTTCATTTATTCAGCCTGCGAGGGAGCTCAGGAGAGCTGGCCAAAACTACTGTTGACGTTCGTTGAGAGAGTGGTGCTGGGTCAACTTGGGCATCTTTCTGTGGCTTGTTTGACGGCGCTGCGGGCTACGCGGAGGGATTATCACGGGGACTCTTTAGGACTGTGGGGAGTTATAGGTCCCGCGGCATTGTTTCATGGGACGTATAATTTTGCGCTCATGAGCGTCAGTGCTATGGAGGGGAATGTGGGTTGGATTCATCCAAACGGACTGCAGAATTCGGTGTTAGTCCTCGGGATGGTTTCGGGGATGATTGGGCTGGCTGTTCAGAAGGTGAAACAGAAGTGGAGAAAGGTGCAGAAGTATGAGCACGAACGTTCGAAAGATGGCGAGAGTCAGAAGTAGTAAGCCTTTCTCGTCCTGGACCGACTTTTCTGTGCATAGGTTAGCATAGGATATGTATATTAGTGATATCTCCCCTCATGATGATTATTCAAACAGCAAGAAAGATTATGCATAATTCTGCCTCAGTGAGTCTGATATTCTCCTTTAGCAGCATCTCCTGTTACTATATCGGGGACTGAAGCTACTGCATAATAGGAGTAATTCAAGCTGTAATGCAGCAAGGCATGGTGTAAGTTATGATGGACTTTTTATTCAAAAGGAGCACATTGAAATTTACAAGATTATATGTATCCACACCATTCGCAGGCATAGGTAGGGAACGCCAAATAACTCAGAGATCCTATACTTATACAGTATGATATTGGATCCTACGATACTTGTTTAGATGTATATAGTTCCACCATGTAGTACATCTGTGTGTGCCCTCCGGGGTCTTTCTGTGAAGAGTCTTTCGCACATATATCCATACAGCTGAGTTCGTTTCGTCGGCTCGGCCCGCATCCAGGAACTCAAAATCAAGAGGCCGATGACTTGTAGGCGTTATTATCTTGTGGTCCATGAGTATTTCAAGAAGGTAAATGTTTTAAATTCCTAGCGCACTCGTTGGTCTGTACAGAGGACAGGACCTTAACTGGTCTTGTTGTGGACCAATAGAAATGTATTCTTACCCAGCCTCGTATGATCGTATCCATGTCGACGCTTGCCCCTCACGACGTGCTGACGCTGCTTACTTTTTTCTCCATCGCCTCGAATTCAGATCTCCTCCCCGTTGTTGTGGCCTTGGTCGGTTACTAACTTTTGCTCCTTGCAGTCTTCAACTTGACCCCGCCTGCATCACCGTTGTCAACTGCTTTTGCGCTTTCATCAGTGGCTTGATGAGACCTCTATTCCATCCGACTACATAGCCATTTCCCCTTTGTAGCAACGTAAATCCAGTCGAATACAAGCCATGCACAGCGTAAAGGGTCGCTGGAAAAACTGGAGGGCTAAAAAAACAAGGAGTCAGGACGATAGCTCTAGCGTTGTCGCCTCCCTGACTCCCCCAACAGGTAAGTTGCGAGTTGGAAGTCCGTACTAGGCCCTCTAGATCTTTATGACTGCCCCATCTGCTAAACCGGTTGAATACATCAGGCAGTGCTAAAGGCCCGTCCAGTGAACTGGTGGAGTCGCCTCCTCCCTTGGATCCATCTGGGAAAAAGGCCAAAGTGACTCTGGTGACCTCTTGGAATCGTTAGCTGACAATAATGTCACCTTCCAAAGCGACGTTCGATGTCTCATCTGGTACTGCTGACCGTACGCGTGTTCCTCACTCTGCCTCACTGGTCGTTGATCCAGCTCAGGCCGATCTCGGACCCGAAGAGCACTTGACGAAATAGAGCACAGAGCTTTCTGTATCCCAGAGAATCTGGAATGCTGCTTATGATAGCCTTGAGGAGGACAAAGATACTGCTGACCTTGTCAAATCTTACCTGAAGGCTCTCACCTCAGTTCTCAAGGCTGAGAAAGATTCTGGTGTCTCTGCCTCCTAAGACGATGAGCTTGCTGCCTGAGTGCAAAGTCTAACCATGCGTTAGGAATATCTGAAGAAATTAGTTAATGATGGTTAGAGAAAAATTGAGACGTTGTCAAAGATCAAAATAGCAGTCGGTGATGTCGCCCAGTTCATTCTCTCTGCTAAAGGGATGATTGACCTCGCAATTCAGAACATACCGCAGGCTGCGCTCCCATGGGCAGGTGTTTGTATTGGGTTGTAAGTAAGCAGTCATTGCTCGCTCTCCTTTGTATCAACTAATGTTTGCCCAGATCCTCCTGAATCCTGCGCAGGCCATGAAGTCTAACCTGGAGGGCATCGCTCATGTTACCTTAAGAATGGACTGGTATTGCGCCCTAACTGAACACCTCTTGAATAAGAACAATATTAAGATCGGAACGGAGTCCTTTCAAGAGGTCTTGGAAAGGCTGGAGAAGGTAGTTGTGCTGCTCTACAAGGAGCTCCTCCTCTATCAGATGAAGAGCGTCTGTTCCTATTACCGGCATTGAGGTGTTGGATTCCTGCGCGGACTAGCGAACTTGGACGACTGGGATGGTGATTTGGCGCGTGTTAAGGCTGCTGAAATTGTCGTGCAGGAGTATTCAGAGCAATATTACTGAGAGTATTAAAAGAGTTCTCTGCGCCAGCTCGTCGACTCTGGTAGTGAAATGGAGAAATACCTTGGTGACATTCATCAGAACTTGCGAGACTTTATCGCCATGTAAAATACAACACGACGGAGCGATGAGGATAAGGAATGCCTCCAAGATCTCTTTGCTGTGGATCCGCAGTATGATCTGAAGGACATTGAGGAGAGGAAGGATAAATTGCTTGATGATGTGTATGACTGGGTCCTTGGCACTGATGAGTACGCCGCGTTTACCAATTGGCTTGATGACGGACCCGACAGACTGTCCTGCCGTGTGCTGTGGATAAATGGACCTGCCGGCACTGGAAAGACGATGCTCTTCATGGGCATTATTTGCAAACTCTCCAGTCAGCCCTCTGCCCTTTTACTGAGTGTCTCGTACTTTTTCTGCTAAGGTATAGATCAGACCCGGAATAGCGCAACGACCATCTTGTGATCACTGATTTGGCAGCTACTGGTGCAGTAACCATCTCTTATTTCGCACCTCTGAGACCAGCGCAGAAATGCTGGTGCCCCTCTTTTGAGAGGCGAGCGCGCATTTTATGTGCTGTCTAATGTACTTTGGAGCATGCTAAGAGACCCTTGCCTCTCACCAATATATTTTGCCATCGATGCACTTGATGAGTGTAACTGGAAAACCCCAGGCTTGGAGCAGCTTCTTCAGCTAATTAATACTTCACTTGCTATCTCCAGTAAGGTGAAGTGGTTACTTTCTAGCCATCCAGAGGTTCTTGTTCAAGCAGGTGGCAAGAATCTCAAGGAACTTCATGCATCAATAGTTTCGCTCATGCTGGACCCTAGGCGTCTGGAAGGCCCCGTCAACGCATATATTGACCATAAGCTTGACAGTATGAAGGGAAGAGACGGTTATGATACAGATACCTTGGCGCAACTATTGGATGAGATTCGCCAGCGAGCTATGTCCACGTTCCTTTGGGTGGCATTGGCATTCAAAGAACTGGACGGAGTGGATGGGTGGGATGCTGTTGAGACCATCCAAAAGATTCCCTCTGGCTTGTCGAATGTGTACGAACTAATTATGGCCTAAATTGAGAAGGGCAGCCCAGAAAACCAAAAGTGCTGTAACAACATATTAGTCGCTGTGGTTCTTGCATATCATACGCTCTCACTGCCCGAGCTCGCTGTTCTTGCTGGGTTAAAACTAAAGATAAACCCTCGGACAATCGTTGACAAATGCGGCTCATTCCTGACAATGTCAGGGCAAACCGTCTCTCTGATCCACCAGTCCGCCAAGGACTACCTCGAGGCGAACTACATAACAAGACTGGGTAGTGGCGTTGGCCAAGGCAATGCGGACATCAGCGCGCGCTCAATTACTGTGATGGGTTTGATATTAAGACACAACCTCTATGCACTGCCGTACCCAGGTTTTGACTCCAAAGATGTGACGCCACCTGAGCCGGACCTGTTGGCCCTGATATGTTACTCCTGCATTTTTTGGGTTGGCCATCTCTGCAAAGCAAAAGACCAGGGCTTTGAGAATGAGCTGACAGAGGGAGGGGCAATTCTTTGATTTTTGAAAGAGCATTTCCTCTACTGGCTCGAGGCATTAAGTCTTATTGGTGGGATTTCAGAGAGCATCAGGCTGCTGAAGGAATTACAGACTGTGGTGGACGTAAGTTGCTATTCAATTTTATGCGAGCATATACTTATAGAAGTCATAGTCTGCCCACAACACTGAACTCTCTGTGTTTCTTCACGACATGCATTGATTTATCTGTTTCTTCTGTCAAGTGATTGACCTAGCACTGCTCCAGGCATATTTTACAGGTCTTGTTTTTGCCCCGCAAAACAGCCTGATTCGGCAGACATTTGAGAAATTCTTACACACCTGGATATCTCATATACCCGTCCCGCAACTGGACTGGAGTCCTTGAATATATATGCTTGACCTCCATAAGTCTACACCTGAATCAGTAGCCTTCTCAGCAACTGGTGATTGGCTTGCATCGGGCTTGAAGAATGGCACTATAAAAATATGGGACACAGCCATAGGTGATCACATGCAGACACTTTGAGGGTCATGAGGACACTATTAATTCACTAGCCTTCTCAAGAAACGGAAACCTACTAGCATCATGCTCAGGGGATGAGACCATCAAGATCTGGGATACAGCCACTGGGGATTGCGTGTAAATATTCCAGGGCTATAATGGTCCGGTCTGCTCAGTATCCTTCTTAGCAACTAATGAGCAACTTGCATCAGGGTCGACGGATGAGACCATCAAAATCTGGGACCTTGTCGCCGGCAAATGCGTGCAGACTGTTGAAGTTAATTATGGAGTCAATTCAGTAGCCTTCTCAAACACTGATGATTGACTGGCGAAGAGTTATTTGAAGAGGAAGAATCAGCCGCCTATGAATATTAATTATCTGACGAGGAATCAGGCGAGGAGGAATCAGATGAGGAGGACCTTGTGCCTGTTTCAGCTGCCTACTACCCAGAGACAAAGGTTTACAGATATGGTCTGAGCCCGGACCGTACCTGGATTACACGCGACGGTCAGGATTTCATTTAGCTACCCCCTGAATTCCGCCCTGAGTGCTCTGCCGTACAGGCCAACACAGTTGCCATTGGTTGTCAGTCTGGTCAGGTCCTCATTTTCGGCTTCACGCCAGACGGATATTCCGCTGACAGTTAATGGTCCTACTGGTGTTTTGTCGAACGTGGCGATACTGTCGCAGTCTATGAGTGCATAGAATTATCATGTGACGTCTTTCAGCTTCGTCCAGGAATTTGGCTGGATATCTGGACTATATCCTAGGTGAATTTGTTGGAGACTATTCTTACATCTGTTGCACGTTGGTTTGATATGTACAGGGGAACAAGGCACAGATATACAGGGTAGTTGCTTCGCCGCTGGAGGTAACTGATTAGTGGCGGTGATAGAGATGATATATATGCAACACAGAGCTGCCAATGGCTTACATGGCCTGGCAGCTCTAGGAACAATGACCAGATAGAGCTATCGGTTCTGTATCATAGTACACAAACACCATAACGCCTTCGACTAGAAGAACAGAGAAGATCCAGTCAGACGGGTACATTGCCTCAGATATGCATTGGCATCGGTCATCCCGCTAGGACTAAATCACCGACGCGGATCATAATCTTCCCGTCCTATTATTGCGCTTGTTGAGCGGTGGCATGCTCCAGTGGCTAGCTGAGATGGGATATCTCCGAAGAATAATTAACGACGCTGATCGTGCAATGGATCTCAGCTGACGGCTATACACCAAGCACTGATTAGTTTAGGTTGTAGAACCATTTTCAATACCCTCATTGAGACAGTTGAAAGAGCGTGGTGACACCAATTGACAAAGCCCGCCGAGGTTCCGGGTCAATGGCATGCTGTGCTGCCCTCCTGTTAGGATTACAGCGCATATGGAGAGCTGCACCGTGGCTGGACCATCGATCGGTATGCAACTTCAGCGCGTACGCTCGGTCCCTGCCGGTGACCCGTTAAACTAATGAGTAGCTGTCTGCAAGTTTAGCTGGGTACTATATCTCCAGTGGCCATAGCACCCGCCAGCCTTCAGAGGGGAATTTATCAACTGCATACTACATGCATAATTACTTTATCATCAGCACGCCACTTTAATATCTTCAGCTCAGTTATCCTCAGTCACTACCAGAGTTTAAGCGCCGTGCTGCAGGATTCCCTTCCGGGCAACGCCACGGGCCCACGGCAAGGGTTCGTACCGTCAGACCCGGCGATTCCGTCTTGGGTTCATATGATGATTCTGACACCAAACTCCATCGCTCTTCTGGAGCTGAATCTAATGGTAGCATCTTTGTAGAGAGCATATCCTGTCGCTTCGTACTATCGGGTATCCGCGAACCATTGGCGCCACCCTTGCGGCCGCGGAGTTCTACCGTTCCCGTAATGCGTTGACGCCATTATTTCATTTCAGCTCTGAGTGATCTATTCCCTGCGGGCGCGATTGGCACATGGCTCAATCATATCCGTATCCACTTTTCCATGGTTCATCGTGGGATTAACGTAGGTGTAAGCACTAGAGCACGGCGCCCAAACCGCTGAAGAACGAACGTCAATTGGATTGTCGGTGGCGTTCTGAGTAGCAAACAAAATTATCTGTATTGGCGTTCATATCACGGTTCGGTTATATAAAGCGTCAATCCCCTACGAGCATTGGAGTTGGTCTTATATAGCTCCTCCATCGGACTTGACAAGGCGCTCTTTATTAAAGCATATATTCTGCAACCAGCAGCACTCCTACACTGTGCAAGTCCGGACGTAGTGGTCCTATCGGCATCCTGTATGTATGCTATCACAAAGCTCTTCAAGAGATGCTAACACTTGCAGCGCTACAATGTCCTACACTATCCGTCTCCGTATCCAGAACACCACCTCCGAGACTCTCACGGTTGTCGAAAAGACCTGCTGGTACTATGCCAACGGATGCACCTGGACAGAACAGGACGGCCAGCATGTGTTGTTCATGGGGGGCAGCGGTACCTCTGGAATGCTTCGCTTCAAATCCTCCTCCGGCGAAACATTCACCACTGTCCTGGGCATGCACAATTACAACCCATGGTGTGATGTGCAAGTTAACTTGAAGGATGATGAGACGGCGGTGAAGATGCATCCAGAATACTACAATGGGGGCAAGCTTTCGGATCAGGCGGGTGCTGGGATATACAAAGGGACAGGTCATGGTCAAATGGTTGCAATTACTTTCCAGAGGAAAGATGAAAATGAGGTGTTTGCTGTTTTGCAATACTATGTAGAACCAGACAGGCGCGTTTACTAGTTTGCTACAGGATAGGACTGCAGATATACCGAGTACTGGGCACTTCTAGGTCTTGACAGGAAGCCCTACTTTCACACAGACAGGAGTGCATTAAGACTTGTCCCAAATGATCGCTAGCATAACTAAAGATCGTGCGGCACGTACCCTCATGATATTTGCGAAGAATATGGAATTGCCATCAGTCATCTCGGCTTTCATTGACATGCATGTCGCATCCCTTCCCGTCATGACGAAGCTGCTCCAGTCGCATGGTGCCACAATGCTCTTCAATCCCTCATCCTTGTATCACTGAAGGATACTCGGTGGACTCAAGGTCGAATTACTACTCTGTTGTCAGAAAGCGGCGAACCTAGTATTGGGCGGACTGCACATCCTTTAGAAGATTGCTGGATCATCGGCGATCAAATCCAATTGCCAACGCACAATTCGAGCTGGGATGTCTGCCAGCTGCTACTGGCCCTGGCCTATATTTTCTTCTACTTTCTTCTACAATCAATCAATCGTCTCTTCCTCCACCCATTAAGCAGATACCCGGGTCCGAAATTGACCGCAGCCACCTTCCTCTCCGGCTTTTACAACGATGTGATCAAAGGGGGCTAGTTCCTCTTCCAAATCGATCGAAAAGATGCAAGAGACACGGTAATGTTGATTGTATATCGTCAGCTACATTGTCTCACACATCCAGGCCCCATCGTCAGGATCAATCCTCGTGAACTACACATCAAAGACCCCTCGTTCTACGATAAGATTTACGCCGGTGGAGCCCACAAACGCGACAAAGACCCCAGATGGGCTCATATAATCCGTGCTCCCTTGTCTACCTTCTCCACAGTCAGCCATGACCATCACCGGTTCCGCCGAAGCGTCCTGACGGATTTCTTCCCCAAGAAATCCGGCACGGCCCTCTCCCAGAACATCGAAGAGAGAGTCATAAAGCTAATGCAACGCTTTTAACAAGCGTACGACAGCAAGTCAGCCATACGTGTGGATGCTGCGTTTTCGGGACTCGGTGCGGATGTGGCCACACACTATGCATACGATAAAAGCTGGGGCTTCCTCGGACCCGAACCACCTTTACTGAGTGATGCGCCGCAACTAGACTGGCTGACCCAATCCATATCCAACCCGCATGGATATAGGGTGGGTTCGCTAGGTCACGGATCAACCCATAATCCACATGGGTTGGATCGGACATGGTCTGGATTGAGTCGATTGACAGTCTGGCCGCAACTGTGGGTCTTTACCCCATTCCGGCGGATCTTGAGTAGCAAAAGCTAAAACGGTAAAACCTCGTCAATGTGCTGAGACATCTGTTCTCAGTGCTGGGATTTATTTGCTTCTTTTTTCCTTTAATGATGATTATTATTACTTTTAACTATCTATGGTAGAATGAATCATGCTTTATTAGTCTGTTGGTCCATTTTATCCTTCTTTAGCTGCTGCTCTTATAGGTTATTCACTATTTTTTGGTATGAAAAGGTTATTGCCTCTGAACAGTTTAATCTGGGAATAAATATGAGAACCCTGATTGGCTTATACAGATGGACATAATAGATAAAATAAGCCGGATGCCTGAAAGTTAATGACCTCAAGCGTGATGGACAGCTAGTCGACATGTTGCAGCAAAGCAACCAATGATGTAACACTGGAGAGAATCCTACGGTGATATCACCGCCATCTGAAATGCCGTACTTATGCATCACGTTGATGATTAGGAGATCTACTCTCTTGAATTGGAAGGATCATTTCTCGCCGAATGCGGGGTACTCGGCCGGCCATTCTGTATTATTCCTAACACAGTCCAGAATAAGATGATTAGGTTTTCACCTGAAACAGCAACAGCCGGGATTGGAATTGGCCAGGCCGACTATGCAAAGGGTGTAGCCGGAACTAGAGGTGTGTACTAGAATTATCTGGGCAGGCTAAGCAGAGCTACGACACTTGCAATCATGGTTCCATCCTCCTTCGAGATTAAATTCTGGAAGACATCTGTTCCACTGCAGCCGTTCACCCCCCAAACCTTGCTAAATGTAATATATCAATTGGCTGCATGACCAAGTCTCAAGTCCAGCTTCCCCTGCTCTCCTCGCCTACCGCTTCAAGGACTACCCCAATCAAAATAGGAAAAAAGGCCTACTGCGATAATTTCCTAACCATCTCGTGTCGACCATGTCCAAGGTCGAGGTGCTGCAAGCGACCCCCGGGTACCGCGAGGATCCTTGGTCACTGACCCTTCTGAGCATGGGGATGTGCGTGGGCTGGCTAGCCAATTACATTGGGATGATTTACAAGTCATTTCAGGACCGTACCTACAGCATGGCGTTGATGCCCCTTTGTTGCAATGTTGCCTGCGAGTTTGTCTATGCCGTGATCTATCCCCCAAACATACCGATTTGGCGGTATATTTTCGCAAGCTGGCTGGCTCTCAACTGTGGTGTCGCGTTCGCCGCCATAAAATTCGCGCCCAATGAATGGGAACATGCTCCGTTGGTCAAACAAAATATTTCCTGGATATTTGCTGTTAGTATTGCAGGGTGGATGGCTGTACACTTAGCGGTGGTCGCGCAATTTGGACCGATTGATGCGCCGGCGTGGAGCTCCTGGTTCTGCCAATTGTTCCTCAGTGCCGGTTGCCTGTGCCAACTGCTTGTCCGGGGAAGCAGCCGCGGAACATCACTTCTCATTTGGTATGACACAGAACAAACCCCGCCCGGTGCCACCTTTGTATTGACTATTTGCTTTCCTGGTTGTTAGGTTCAGCCGGTTTATAGGAACCGTTTTTGCCTTACCGTTCGAAGTTTTGCGGTATCAGCATGGGTATACGAATGTTGTATGGCACAGTCCCTTGGGTTGGTTGGGTGGTGTGGCCTTCTTTCTATTGGATGGTTCCTATGGAATCATCCTCTGGAATATTCGACGATCTGAAAGGAAAGCCGACAATTTGAGGGCGAGAAAGACTGGATCAGGAATGGAACAGAAAGGAGGGGAAAAGAGCCGGCGAGGGAGGGACCGCTAAGGGGATTTTCGGGTAGGCAGATCGATAAGCAATCTTTGAAAACTCGCCATGTACTATTGTCCTTTGACAACGTGGTTCTGGTAAGGAAGAAAGGTGAAAGCCTACGAAGCCATAAGGCGTGACGCTGTATAGTGGCCACGACTCACGAGGATGAAATCTATGGCCAATTTCGGTGTAGCGCCATAATTCTGTGGACTTCAGCCCGGTTGTGATGGCAGGGTTGCAACTGCGTTTCATTAGTCAAGCCCACCTTAATCACAGTCCAGCGTTTAAGGTTGTGGTCCTCGGTGCAATTCGTCGTCTAGCACATCCATGCTGACTGGGTAAATATCGGAGTCTAGACTCACCTCCCTCAACGAATGAACATCATTATGCCGCATGCGGAACTGATATTAAGTAAACCAAACACATGCCATAAATTTGGATACAAGCACAATACCTCGCAGAGTAGGTACATTTAACCCACTTCAAGACAGATCTCACCATTATCATTCCAGTTACAGATTCACTACATTGCATATCTTCTTTATATTGTTCCTGCAAACCCCTCACGTGATATAAAGTCTGCAATACTGCTTTCTGGCCTTCTATCAGGCTCCACAGAATGTAAATGGATTCTTCTTTCAAAATAATCATTGTCGGCGGATCAATTGCCGGTCTCACTCTTGCGCACTGTCTGCATAGAGCAGGCATCCGTTGCATTGTCCTCGAAAAGCGGGTTGCAATTACCCCCCAAGAAGGAGCATTTGTGGGCATCATGCCAAACGGCGGGAGGATCTTGGAGCAGCTGGGGCTCTATGAAGCTGTTGAGAGGTTGATTGAGCCAATGCATGTTTTCCACGTTCGTTTCCCAGACGGATTCCAGTTTAGCAACCCGTACCCCAAGGCAATGAACGAAGTGTATGTTGACAAGCTCTTGTCTTGTGTTCCCCCAGTCTGACCAAAGTCATTGGTCTCCACTAGCTTCGGGTTCCCAATGGCGTTTCTGGAGCGACAGCAATTGCTCCAGATTCTGTATCAGTCATTTCCCCGCAGATCGGACATTCACGTGGGTAAAACAGTCATTCGAGTTGACCAGGGAGACGACGGTGTGATGGTATATACAAAGGACGGAAGCACCTACCATGGCGACCTGGTTGTCGGGGCGGATGGTGTGCACAGCTGCGTGCGCGCTCAGATGTGGCGCGCAGCGGACGTGCTCTGTCCAGGTATGGTTACTAATGGCGAGAAAAATGGTAGATCTTCCGTATCTTGATATTGTCCATGGACGAAACGGCGGCTAACTGCTCCTCATTGTTCATTAGGAATGCATATTGAATATGCTTGTATTTTCGGCACTTCCTCGGCTGTTCCAGAACTGGAGGAGGGACACCTGTATCTGAGCGTCTATGATGGGAAATCACTCATCCTTGCTCCTGGGATCAAAGGGCGACTGTCCTGGTTCATCGTGCTAAAACTGGGGAAACGATATCGATATGGTAGCGCGCCGCGGTTCTCCACAACAGAGGCCGCAGCCTGCTGTGAGAAATTGACTGGATTGTACATATGGAAGGATATTAAGTTCAAGCAAGTGTGGCAGAACCGCGAGGCCTTTACCATGACGCCACTGGAAGAAAATTTATTTCAGAACTGGCACTGCGGCCGCCTTGTCTGTATCGGCGATAGTATGCACAAGGTACGGTTTCTCAGCATGAAGTAAATGTCTACTCTTCGACCTAACGGTTCATTTCATCCAGATGACACCTAACCTTGCGCAAGGAGCCAACTGTGCTATTGAAGATGCTGCCGCTTTGGCCAACATGATATATGATGCTCTGAATGGGAAACATCACGCATACAGGGTCTCCAACGAAGAAATTAATCGCCTTCTCTCCCAATTTAGCAAAGTCCAATTCAATCGCATGGCTAAAGTTTACCGCGCATCAAGAATCGTCGTGCGGCTACAGACTCGAGCTAATCTTGTATACAAGCTAGTATTGCGGTA